TCAAGTGTGGAAGAGGACGGAGAGGTGCAAGAGCTTCTGTGAGGTTTCCGCCTGCTCCTTCTTTCGCCAAGGGCAGCTCTTACCGCCGCACAGCGATGCCTGCGTCCTCCCGGCTCCTTTGTCCTTTAGCATAAAAAGTCATTTGTCAGCAAAAGAAGCAAAGTTTTGTTTTTCAGTCCAGATCTGGCTGTCCTCCCACTGAGACTTTCAGCTCTTTATCTCAGGAATTGATGGTCTCGGATTCTGATCCTCTTTCCTTGGTGTCTGTATTGATTTTTTTTTTTTCCAGGAGGGTTATTTTCACTGTGGTTTCAAAACTATCTTTCTGTCTCCACTTACAGCAGGTAATAGCTCAGCTCGGCGAATTGCACATTTTCTGGGCCGTGCCGGCCTCAGCTCTTGCAGAAGTTCCCCTGGCAGTCCGGAGCCCGGGTAACCAGGCGTCCGCGCTTTCCCACTCCCGTCTCTCCGCGCTCATCCGGTGGCTGCGGTCGCACGGGGGAGCGGGGTGAGGGAAGGTGCCCGTGTGCTGGATGTGCGCGACAGAGGGGACCAGACAACCCGGGTGTTTTCCTCTTCCTCCGCTTACAGAAACCGGCCCCTCGTTTCGCCGCTGGGGCTGGAGCAGACGGCGGTGCGCCGTGCCGCCCGGGGACAGCATCCCTCTGCCCTGCTCACGGGGCCGTGTCCTTGGCGCTGGCCCGGCTGTGCCGCAGCCCCTCTTTGCGCCCAGAGGCCCGGCGCTGGTCGTCAGCGGTGCCCGATAATGAATAAATCCAATAGTCTCAACTTAAATGGCTGCTCTGTTTCCTTCACCCCAGCGATGGCTTTTAGTCATCCAGTCTTGCCAAAGAAAAATTCATGAGATCATTTCCCCAAAACAACATGATACTTCAAAATCGTAATTAAAATACCTCTGGCTGTTCTAATATTAAGCTTTTATAAGTGCTTGGAATAATATTTCAGATAAATGGAAAATCTTTGTACTCTATTAGCGTGATATACCCTTCTTCTAATGAAACGTATCTCTAACATCAAATCCTCCGTATGCATTGAAAATGCTCTTCCCTGTTTGGCTCTTCAGTGACAGGAGCGCGTACACCTCCCGTGGGTCGCGGTGGTGAGTGGAGCTACCCCAGGGGTCCGTATCGATTTGCTTCGTGACATTAATACCTTCCAGCGTACCAGCAGCAGGATCCTGCGCATGAATACTAAATGGGAGGATGTTGTGCCCCAGAGGCTGGTAAGCGAGATCCCATATATTACACCATGTGAGTTGTGTGTCATATTAGAGCAATCTAGTTTTAAAGGGCATCTTTCAAGCACAAACTAGCTTTTTCCCACACTTGACTGATCACTCAAATAACTGTGATTAAAGGTCAAGTGCCTGGGTTTTTCTATTTTACTTCTTAAAAATTTATATGCGAAAGAAAACCTAGAAGTTAACATAGCATGAAATTGTTATGCAGTTATGAGCCTTTAACGACAACTAAATATCACTTTTCTTCCTGGGTGGCTTGAAAAATCTCCAGTAATAATGGGTCACTTCTGGTTTCCACTTGAGGAAGATTATAAATAAACCCCGTCTTTTGCTTCCCTGCCCTGTCATGGGATGGAGGGAGAGCTTTAACCAGATGAACTTGCGACCCCCGTCACCAGGGCTGTACCCGGGCTCGCCGGGAGCTCCGGGGCAGCGGGCGCGAGGCGGGAGCACGGGACGGCTGGAAGCACTGGTGCGCTGCGGCAGCACCGCGGCAAAGCTCCTGTCCATGCTGAGCTCTCCCGGACGGAAAGAGCATCGATAAAGGGACGGGGATTTTCTCACGCGTCCAGTTGACAGAGAAAAGGTGGTGGCCGTGTTTCCAGTGGGGTGAGAAGCAGAGGGAGAGCTGGATCACCCTCCGGCTTCAGGCATCCAGCTGGGCCGTCTGCGCCCCGTTACGGGTCTCTGCCCCCGGTCTGCCGGGCTACAGCTAACGAGGCCCCCAACAGCGGTTTCCTGGGCTGAGCTGGAATATGGGCAGTCGGTGCTTTGGGGTGGGAGGGGAGTGCTGGAGGACGTGGAGAGCAAGTAGAAGTATTAGAGGTATATGTTGGCAAATCCAATTGTGAATCTTCATCGTGCTTGAAAAATGTTTCCTCCATCTCTGCAGAACGGCTGCGGCAGCAGCATCTTCCTCTTAACTGGCCAAGAGCCCCGGATTTCCAAGAGATTTACACTCAGGTGCAGCGCCTCCCAAACCTCTCGAAAGCAAACATGCCTTTGGTGTTAAAAATATGCTCAGAACGGTAAGATTCCTGTGGAACAGGTTAAGGAAACACTGTGCTCAGGGTTTTGAGCCTGTACCCGGGTTGCTCAGGGTCTCTGATCCTGCAGGGACGTTCACACACGGTTAAATGTATTCCCATGGGTAGTCTCACGACTTCAGGAAGAGAGTACTTAAAAGCTGGAGCATGAGGCAAATGAACTGCAATCACCATAGCTAATTAATCTTTTTATGCAATGTGCAAATCTGAGTCTGACTGGCAGCAGGCTTCGCTAGGATACCTGCTGCAGTGAACTCATGCATGCGTGAGGCACCGCAGCGTTCAGGCTTTACCGTCTAACACTTTAAGGTGCTTAAGCGGAGCGCGTTTGTGCAGACACACGAGGGGCGGCGGGGGTGCCCCTCCGCAGGGCTGTGGGGGTGCGCGCAGGGCTTGGCCTGTGGTCCCAGCACTCACCACCGTGAGCAGGGGCTGCGCCACAGCCCACCCGGCATGTGCGAGATGGAGACTCAGTATTTTTATTCCAGGCTTGCAGTGTTTTACATCTGACAGCACATAATCACAGCGAAGGGAACATCCCACAGGAACAAGTGTTGCTACATAAGCAAGCTTTGGTGTCAGGGTTTCAGCCATCAGGTGGGAAACCGACAGGCGTTCAGCCTGACTAAATTTTGCAGGGACCTGCAACACCTACAATCAGTGATACCAAACTTTGCGAGTTCCTCCCCCGGTGCTGGAGGCTGTGGGCCTGACAGCACGCACCTCGCCTGCGGCAAGCCGGGAACTGCCTCCCCCAGCCCAGCCAGCCTGCCCGCAGCCTCCCCGCACGGTGCTTGCTGCCGCCGCGCTGCCCTCCGCGCAGGGCTGGCAGGACCCCCCCTCCCGGGGGCCGCCTGGGGTTTGCTTCTGGCCACTCGGACTTTTATGGCGGCCGCTGGGCTTGCAGGACCTTGAGACGAAGCTGGGAGTGAAATTCCAACCCGGAAAGGCAGAACAGAGGGCTTGACATAAAACTGGGATTCCCGGGCATCGCTTGCAGGCAAGGGCAGTTATGAGACCTGACCTGCTCCCTCCTGGTGCCCGTGGCGCAGCAATACGGTACTGACTCACTGCTGACTGCCTGATAATGGCCGCAGGGAGCGAAGGTCAGCCGGGGGGGCCCTACAGGGCTGTTAATTATGGCTGTGACCACAAGGCCACAGTGTCTCAGCGTCAGCAACGTCTGTGCCGCAGCAGTGCTTTGGCATCCATGGAGAA